AGACATTAGAGGATTACCTGAGTTACCAAAAAAAGGCCACTTAAAAAGTAATGGTCCCAAAAGTGCAACACCCAAAGAAAGGGCTACCACAACTCTGCTATAGTACTCTCCAAACTCATCAAGCCATCTTTGCAACTTTGGCTTGTTTAGCTGGCCCTCTTCAGTCAATTGGACAATTCTGTTGAGCGTTGAATCCTCCCATGACTTGGTCACCTAGAAAAGGTAGTAAACAGGCAAACAAATGACTCTCTTGCAAGGTGGCAAGGCGACACTCCAGAACAGATAGCAAGTATAATGTACTAGAAAAGCAGAAATAGTACTAGTAACAAAAAAGGGCGTACCCAGTGCAGAGAGCTCCCGCTCTGTGCGGGGTCTGGGGAAGGGTGTTAGTGGCAAGCCTTACCCTCGCATGTGCAATGCGAGGAGACCGCGACTCGAACCCGGGACCTTCCGATCACAGGCAGTAAGACTCTACCGCTTGCACCAGGCCCACCCTTCTAGAAATGATGTTTAGTTTTAATAAGCATTTGTTACTAGAAATAGTACTAGTAACAAATGCTTATTAAAACTAAACATCTGTCCAATCCCACAAGATTAACTAGGTTTCCATTTTCCATCTCTTCATCAAAGAAAGTTGAAACATCTTCTTCATTGAAGGGAGCAAAGCAAACCTTTACAATCATCATTCCTTCCAAGTTCCTGGCGCCACCTGGTATGGCATCTCCAACTGTCCTTTCTAAAGGTTTTGTTTCACCAGTTAGGTGTTCAATTGTGACAGTTGATGAACCTTGGTAGACTTCACCATCAACAGGCACCGCCTAAAGAATACAAGAACTGCACTAAAATGAGAAAAATTTCTAACCATCTAGAATAAGAATACCATCAACATGTAGGGCAAAAAAAGATAAGTCAAACCATTGTGCTCAGTTAGAAACAAATTGGAAAATGCATGAAGAAGCTATGAAATGAAAACAAAAATAGGAAAAGCAAGGATTTAACTTCTATACAAGATATAACACACCTCGCCAGCTCTAACCAAGATATGAGAACCCACTTCAAGATCATGCACAGGAACCTTGGTGTAACTTAGATTTGAAAACTGTACAGGTTCTTCTCCACTTGTTTCTAACAGCAGAGCAAATTCCGGGTGATTTTCCTTCAGTTCCTTCACGTCAAACATTGACTTACTTGTAAAATACTCTTCAGCTGTAAGAAACAAGAACAGTGAACTTCAAATAAACACACAACAGGAGCTAACACATGGGGCTTTCGGATGTTATCAGAAGAAATGTACCAATATGAGCCAAGTTAAACATTGCAAGAAGCAGGCCACCCTCCAACGCATTTCCCATAAATATAGAAGCAAATGCTGCAAGAGCCATGAGAACATGGATATTTATTCTACCGTCGGCAATATTTACAAGAGCATCAAGCGCTGCTGACACCTGTAAGATAGGAAAGGAGTGTCAAACAAGTACGTTGTTGGCAAGCGACCTCAAAACAAAGGCTGCTCCTCTGATCTCCCTTGTTAGGTAGCAAAGCAAAACACAGTTCCATGTTCAATGAATTCCATTTTACACCAATGCAGTTGTCATATCAATTGCTGAGAGGATTTAACTGAACCTTGGCTAATTCGAAGCATGGAAAAGTACCGGAGAGTTATGTGGTGGCACACAAACAGTGGCTTCCCTGTGCAAACTTTTATAGCGAAATCCCCAGCGAGACACAATGTCATAGATACAAGCCTAAGTGTTTCCACTTTCCAATGTATGAACTCCTTGGATTGTGCTTAGTGTATCTGAAATCCCAATCCTATGCTCTAATTTTCTTACCAATCTTCAAGCATTTAAATACAGCATAGAATTGACGCAATCCAACTAATTATTTCCTCTGTAAGTGCAAATGTTGAAGCAGCTGTGAGCATAGAACAAATAGACTACCAAGTACAGTACTAGTTAGTAGTGATCCCTAGTAAGGCTGTAAGGGTCTGGAAGGTCAAAAGTAGCAAAGGAACAAGGTAGGGGGCATTACCCCGACGAGAGGGAAGGCGACGGCGATGAGCGCGGCCTGCAGGCGACCGACTGAGTTGAGCAGCGCGACGTGCGGGCAGGCAGCGGCGATGAGGAGGAGGCCGAGGGAGATGCAGCAGGCCTGGAGGTGCTCCCGCAGCGCGTCGGCGACGTCGGCCCAGCCGATCGCCCGCGCCACCCGCATGACCGCCGCGCCCCCGCCTCCCCCGTGCACGTCCACCTCGTGGTGACCGTGGCCGTGGCCGTGGTGGTGATGGTGGTCATGGCCGTGCTGATGGTGATGGTGGTGGTGGCCGTCGCCGTGGCCGTGGCTGCCGTGCGCGCGTGGGGTGAAGAGCAGGGACGGGCGCGAGGCGATGAGGAGCGGCGGTCGGGGCGTCAGCGCGAGGGGTCTGGGAGGGGAGCAGCGGCGGCGGAGGTGCGGGAACGGCGGGGGCCGCGAGAGGCGGAGGAGGTGCGCCGACGGCGTCACCGGCGAGGAGACTGAGGCGGAGGCGGAGGCGGAGGCGCTGAGGAATTGCATCGCGCCGGCGGGCGAGGGCGAGGGCGGGAGCGGGAGGAGCTCGATCGCGTCGGCGGGGCGGTCGACGGACGCTCGTGGTGGTGAGCCGTGAGCAGCAGCCAGCTGAGGACTGGTCCACCACGGGGTTGGACCTTTGTGGCGGGCGTGCGGTGGACGGGGGTGGTGGCGAGCCAAGCGGATGGCGATGACGGGCGTGTGCGTGGGCCCGGGCCCAGGCCCGGCCGGGTTTGTTTTGGCTCGTGTCGTCACCGTGTCACTACCATCTTTGTGTCGCGCACGGTTTCGCTACTCTTTTATTTCGTCTCCATTTTGCGATTTGTAACTTTGTACCGTATGTAGTGCACAATAGACGTTTAAATGTCCTTATCTGAAAAAAGGAGCTCTATTACGCTATATGCCATGCTTCGGAGGCAAAGTGCATTCTCACTACATCCTCTCAAGAAATTCCAGTGATAATATGGTCACTCAAAAAGAACTTCCGAGCTCCAAAACAAAGTATCACGACTTGACAAACTGATTTAGAGGTGAGGTATAATTTGCGTTATGACTTATATAGTTCGATTTAATTTTTTCCTAATAATACAAATTTGTCTACCTTTGATTTAATTTTAGAAAAATATATTCAGATAAATACACTACAAAATATATTCTATGAGAATTGATTAAATTATTTTAATATTACAAACACTGATAATTCTTTCGATGAACCTTGTCAATGTTCAAAGAAATAACTTAAAACAAAGCTAAGTAAACTACAATTTACAAAGGATCTAGTGCCGCTCTAATTTATTTTGTATAACTTTGTTTACGGAAAATATTGGAATATGCAATGAGTACTCGAGCATTTTACAAACGCTGATGTTTTATTAGAGCCTAGATGATCGTGTACACTACACATCTGCTGATCAAGTGATGATCATCTACTCCATCATGAATTCTACATTGGTCAATGTGTTTCATTACCGTAACGCTTGAGATTGGGCGTCCATCCGATCGAACGCCACTTCCTGGCCCTGCGTGCGCTACCGGTGTAACAAGTCTATCTCCTCCTCTATATGTTTCTCCATCTCTCTAAAAAATATCTTCCTACTCGCTCGCCTATCGCACGCTTCACAGCGTCGTGCGGCCGTCAGCCCGCCCCACTTCACATTCGCCGCAGTGGCCATCTCCCCCCGCGCGCCCTCATCCTGCGCTGCTCGCTCCTCACTCTTGCCCGTCGCGCGCCCCACCCGCGCGCTCTCGCTCCTTGCTCCAGCAATCCCACCCGCCACGCACCCACCCACGCCGTTGGGTGCGCCGCCCGCCTCTGCTAGCGCTAGTGGTGCCGTCACACGCCTCATGTCGGTCCCCCACAGAGCCAAGGGCACCCACGAGCGCGGGCCGTGCTGGTGGTGCTCCCACACTGCCGCTCGGCGTCGGCTCCCGCTCCGAGGCCGGAATCAACCGGCCCAGGTCTCTTCCTCCCCTATGTTGCAAATGTATATTTTCTAAGTGTTTTTTATGTTATCAGAGGTATGTTGCAAGTGTTTCATATGGATGCTGTAAAAGTAGATCGGGATATTGCATATGTTGCAAGTGTTTCACGGGCATATTGCAAGCGCTTGTTCAAAATATTTTATCTGCTTTTATGTATGTTGCAAGCGTGTTTTATGTGAATGTTGCACATGTTTTACACATATGTTGCAAGAGTATGTTCAAAATGTTTTAGTTGTTTTAGTCTTATGTTTCAATAAGTGTTTTTCATGTTGCAAGTTGCAAGTGCTTTATTTGGATGTTGCATATGTTTCACACACATGTTGCAATTGTATATTTCAAATATTTCATCTACTTCAGACGTATGTTGCATTCAAGTGTTTCATATTCCAAGTGTTTCGTGTTTCAAAGGTACGCTCAGAGTCATGGTGCTCGGGCATCGGGGAAGGGCATGGCGGCGTGGTGCCTGTGGATGTGGCGCGGCAGCGCCAGGGTCTTTTGAACAGAAGGTGTGCTCGCCCTCGTCCCCTGCCTCTGCCGCTGCGGAGAGAGAGAGAGAGAGGGGTTAGGGGGGAAGGAGCGGCGGGCGGGGCGAGAGGCGGACGGGGGCAGGACGAGGCGGACGGGGACGGACGTGCGTGTATAACAGCGAACGGCGCAGGGCTGGTGACCGAAGCCGAGGTCGCGCGATGACCTTTATCTGATGGGCCGTTCTGCTAGCCTGTTTCGGTGGGAGTGTGCCCATATTACCGCATTTGACGGAATCCTATCCCATCGGACGTCCGGACGCCAAACAATTCTGTCTCTTTAATCCCAGTGCAACTTATTTGTGCCGAGTGCATTCTTTTGTAAACTATGGTACATTTCTTCTAGAGGTTCCAAAATATATAAATCAATTGTGCTATTGCATTTGCGCCGTTTGTTCTTTGTAAACATATAACCTTTTCGATTCGGTCCAATACTAGAAGTTTCTGTTAACGATCAGCATTTGCCTTTTCGACTCTAGCCGTCTAACGATTTTTTTAGGCATTCCGCAACGGTCAAAATTCAAAACTCAAAGCTAACAAAGGAGCAGGAGTGGGTCAGCGTTACCCCGACGAGAGGGCAGGCGACGGCGACGAGCGCCGCCTGCACGAGCCTGCTGGCGCCGGAGCCGAGCGGCAAGACGTGCGGGCATGCGGCGGCCACCAGGAGGAGCCCGAGCGCGACGCCGCAGCAGACGTGGAGGTGCTCCCGCAGCGCGTCGGCCACGCTGGCCAGCCCGACCGCCCTCGCCGTCCGCATGATCGCTGCGCCCCCGCTGTCTGCTCCGTGCGCGTCGTCGTCCACACCGCCGTGGTGACCGTGGCAGTGTCCATGGCGCTGGCCTTGGTGGTGGTGAGGTGATGGACGTGACCTTGGCCGTGGGGGCAGCCGTGCGTGCGGGGGGTGATGAGCACAGATCGACGGCGCGGAGAGGGGGGAGGGCTGGTTCGGCTGATGGGCGGCCAGCAGCGGCCGCAGCGGAGGTGTGTTCGAGAGGCCGAGGAGCCACGCGGACGGCACCAGCGTCGAGGCGCGGGAGGAGACCGAGGCGGGGGCTGTTAGGAACTGCATTGCTGCCGCGAGGCGGCAGGTCAGGATCGCGCACGTCGGCGATCGAGGTGATGACTTGGGCGGCCGCGGGAGAGGACGCGCGCGGGCTGCTAGGTAGGCGAGAGGGGGTGTCGTCACCGTGTCACGCCGTCGCGGCATCGCGTCGCGTCTGGTTTTGCTACTTGTTTCGTCCGGGTGCCGTTCGTGTCGTCACCGTGTCGCGCGGTTGCGCCATCGTGTCGCATATATAAACGCGATCATGGCTGCCATGCATGGTGCCTGTCCGTATCAATGGCGTCAGGGTATGTGCCAGTGGCAGTTCTTGTCACCGATTGGGACGAGTTTGGACCATTTTACATGTCTTGCCAAACGCGATTCAAAGTCTCAGCATGTATAAATAAACGATTAAGTCTGTCATAAGTTAAACATCTTCAAATTTGACTAATTGTAAAGAAACACTAATCTGTAGTTCTAGCCCCCAAACAAACATACTAGAAAAAATATATCCAAATGGAAAAAATTTAACGACAATAATTTGGTGTTATGGATGTCGCTATGTTTTTCTATGAAATTAGTCAAATTTGTAGAAATTTAATTTAGAATAGATCTAAAAAACTTGCATTTTGAAATGAGGAATTATAAATTTCACATAGTTGTAATGTACATTATCCTCACATCATTTTTTTTCTTTTGTAGTGGAAAGAGATTATCGCTAGAGAGAAACTAATTACTAGCCAATTTTTTTAATCATTAACATTGAAAACTTTGTCGTGCCTCCTCAAGAATTGATTGAGATCTTACAAGCCATAATTTGTTTCTTTTATATTCTCCCTAGTTCCTTCCAAACAATTTGTGGGCAGATAAGCACGATTTCATTCGATCGAAGAGGACCCGATAGAATTCTTAAAAATAAAAGGAAAAGAGGCGAAAATAAAAGGAAATGAAAAAATAGAGGAAACCTCTAAAATCAAAAGAAATCCATAGATTTGATTCTAAAAAACATCATGTTTTAAAAGGCGTGCGGATCACAAGCTTTTCAATGATGAAAACGAACAGCAACACTTAGTGGATGTTTTATTTTTTTACTAGCAAAATTGTCCGTGCGTTACAACGGGAGATACGTTTTGCATGGTCGTAGATAATTTATTGCTTAGAGATTTAACTATTCACTACTACGATAAACTTAACCGAGGCGGGAAAAAGGATTTCCCGAGGCGGGCAACTTATCCGCCTCGGTCAAAAAGTCACGATGCATCAATGATTTACTGAGGCGGTTCAAATGCCCGCCTCGGTTAATAAAAAAAAGAAAAAAAAGAAAACCTATGGACAAGCCCAACGAGCCCATCCACGGGCCTGCCGAGCCCATCCATGGGCCGCCGCCGCAGCTGCACGCCGGTGATAACATCCTCGCCGGACCGCCGGGATCCAGCCGCCCGCCACCCGCCGCCCGAGGCCTCCGATCGCCGTGATCCGGCCGCCCGCCGTCGATCGGGATCTGGTCTCCAACCACCGGATCCGCGAGCAAGGGAGGGGAGGGGAGGAGCGCCGTCGGATCTCGCCTCCCGCCTAATTTTAATCTATATCATAGTTTGACACATGCTACTCATGTTTTTTTATTTTATATATATAGCGACCTTCGTGGCCATGGCATGCCTACATAGCTAGTGAATAGTGATATTGGCTTGAATCAAATAAACAAATTCTTGTAGACATCTTTAAAACTAATGACTGCGGCTTATGATTAAATAAATTGCCACATTTTTTATTTATGTAAATAACTGCCGGTTTATGAAAGTAGGGTAGTAAATTTGAATAGTTTAGCACAAATATATAGTTTTTTTTGCTTCGACTGATGAAAAAGCTTCACTTAAAAAGCTGAAATTATTTTAGATAAGCGTTTGATATAATAGTTCCTCCTAGTTGTTAAAACAATAAATGACTATACTACCCTAATTTTTTATTTCTCTTTTTCTTCTATTTTCTCCCTCAATTATTTTACAGTTTCGCTTTTCTCTCTCTTCCTTATCTCCTTCACCCTACGCATCTTCGTCTTATCCCCTTCACCGCACGAGCGCGGTAGTTTTCGTCTCCCTTCCGTAACCCACAACTGTCAAGACTTCCTCCACCGATGGCTGGCCGAGCTTCGCTGGTTCCTCCCTCTCCCCAACTGCGCCAGGCCACCAGCTCTGCCGGCCCTGCTCCTCAGCTCGCGCTTGCAGCCGGCGAGCCGCGAGCGTGGACGCCGTCGGCCACAGGGAGTTGGGGACGCCGGCCACAGGGAGACGGGGATGTCGGCCACGGGGGCGAGCGCGCCGGCGCGGGGACGCCGTCCTATATATTGTGTTGTTTTTTATTCTTTATTCTTTATTCTTTATTTTTATTATTTATCAACCAGTTTCTATTTTTACATTCGTGTTTCGTTGAACGTGAAAATAACGGAATGGAAACACATTTAATTGAACGTGAAAAAATAAAGAAAACTTAAGTGAACCTAACTGGAACCGGAGAAAAAAAAAGGAAAGAAATCAGATGTAACTGAATTAAACTGGAACTGGGAAAAAAGAAATTGGAAAAAGACATCAAACACGAACAGAAATCGGGAAATTATGTGGCTGACGAGAGGACTTCAACTCTCCGTTCCTAAAATCCTCTAGTTCGTGACGGTAAGGGCCTCACGGCCAAGAAAGGTAAAAAAAATCAACGTTTTAAAAAATGAAAAAAATAAAAGACCAAAATTAAAAAAACTAAATCTATTCAACTTACTCAGATCAGAGAGATATTGATCCTGTTCGCTTAGAGAAATCTGAATAAATTTGTGAGAGAAAAACACGGTTCCGGATGAAAAAAAAAAAGAAGCGGATCAAGCCGAATTTAAGGGTACGTAAACGGGGTCATTGTTGATTAGGATTCGTAACTATATAGTTACCTAAGAACCTATGTCCGATGTGTCATATAAAACAGAACGTTTGTCGTGGACAGAAGCATAGATAATTTCCACATTCCGAGTTTCTCAGGGATGATGGATAAAAAAAATGTTTTGAAATTTTATCTTTTTATTATTAGGTATGGATATGGACATGGATATGGATATGGATATGGATATGGATATGGGTATAGATTTATTTATTTTAATTTCTCCCGCAGTAAGCTGCTTCAGAGAAGACACCTTCGGCGCAGCAAGCAAAACTAGCTTCGCCGCAGCCGCCGCCTCCGTGCCGGCTCGCGGCTAAACCGCCACTAGCCCCACCCCCCCGCCGCAGAACCCTAAATGCGGCCGCCACCATGCGCCGCCTCCCGCCCCTCCGCCGCTGCCGCCTCCACGTCCACCCCGGACATCGTCGCGGAGCTCGGCCGCGTCATCTCCACGCGCCGCTGGAACAAGGGCAGAGCCTACAAGCGCCTGGCCCCCTCCGTGACCGCTGCGCACGTGGCCGACCTCTTCCGCGCCCCGGTGGGCCCTCTCGACCCGGCCACCGCTCTCGCCTTCTTCGAATGGGTCGCGCGCCGCCCCGGGTTCCTCCACACCGCCGCGCGCCCGCCAACTATGACAAGCTCGTCGTCTCCATGATCAGCTGCTCCGGCACCGCGGAGGACATGCGCGAGGCCGTCGACGCCATTCAGGCAATCCGTCGAGCGGGTGGCAAGCGCCTCGCGCTGTCCCCAAAGAGCTACAAGTTGGCGCTCAGGTCGCTGTTGCGATTCGACATGACGGAGCATATGGGGAAGCTGTACTCGCACCTCATGCAGGAGGGGTTGCTGCCAGACGCAGTGACTTACAACACTATGATCATGGCATACTGCAAGGAGGGCAGTCTCGCCATAGCACACCGGTATTTCCGTCTGTTGAGGGAGTCTGGGATGGAGATGGATACGTACACATGCAATTCTTTGTTGCTGGGGTACTGCCGAACAGGTGACTTGAGAAAGGCTTGCTGGCTACTCATGATGATGCCGCTGATGGGTTGCATGAGGAACGAGTACTCCTACACCATTTTGATTCAGGGGCTCTGCGAAGCACGGTCTGTAAGGGAGGCACTTGTGCTTCTGTTCATGATGCTACAGGATGGGTGCTTCCCGAATCTGCACACATATACACTCCTGATAAGAGGTCTTTGTAAGGAGGGAAGGATTCATGATGCCAGGGTGTTGCTTGATGAAATGCCGCGGAGAGGGGTGGTTCCAAGTGTTTGGACGTATAATACAATGATTGATGGGTACTTTAAGTCGGGAAGGATGAAGGATGCATTGGGGATTAAGGCACTGATGGAGGGAAATGGGTGTGATCCAGATGACTGGACATACAACAGTTTGATTCATGGCCTATGTGGTGGGAAGCCAGACGAAGCCGAAGAATTGCTAAATGGCGCTATTGCGAGAGGCTTCACACCTACAGTTATCACATTCACTAACATGATTAATGGGTATTGCAAGGCTGAAAGGATTGATGATGCACTCAGGGTAAAGAGTATCATGATGTCAAGCAAGTGCAAACTTGATTTACAGGCATATGGAGTGTTGATCAGTGTCCTCATCAAGAAGCATAGGTTAAAAGAGGCTAAAGATACGTTAAAAGAGATTTTTGCAAATGGTTTAGCTCCTAATGTTGTCATCTACACCTCTGTAATTGATGCCTATTGCAAGGTTGGAAAGGTTGGTGCTGCACTAGAGGTCTTCAAATTGATGGAACATGAAGGTTGCCATCCAAATGCCTGGACTTACAGTTCTTTGATATATGGGTTAATTCAGGATCAAAAGCTTCATAAGGCAATGGCTTTAATAACTAAAATGCAAGAGGATGGGATAACTCCTGGTGTTATCACATATACTACTCTGATTCAAGGCCAGTGTAAAAAACATGAATTTGATAATGCTTTGAGGTTATTTGAAATGATGGAGCAGAATGGCTTGACACCTGATGAGCAAGCATACAATGTCCTAACTGATGCACTATGCAAGTCTGGAAGAGCTGAAGAAGCTTATTCATTTCTTGTCAGGAAGGGAGTCGTCCTCACAAAGGTAACATATACATCTTTAGTTGATGGTTTTAGCAAGGCAGGCAATACTGACTTTGCTGCTGCCCTTATAAAGAATATGGTCAATGAGGGTTGTAAGGCAGATTCGTACACATATAGTGTACTGTTGCAGGCTTTATGTAAACAAAAAAAACTGAATGAAGCTTTGTCTATACTGGATCAGATGACCCTAAGGGGAGTCAAGTGTAACATTGTTGCTTATACAATAATTATCAGTGAAATGATCAAAGAAGGGAAGCATGACCATGCTAAGAGTATGTTCAATGAAATGATTTCATCAGGACATAAGCCTAGTGCAACCACATATACTGTATTCATTAACTCGTGCTGCAAGATAGGCCAAATAGAGGAGGCTGAGCATCTAATTGGGGAAATGGAAAGAGACGGTGTCGCACCTGATGTGGTAACCTATAATGTATTCATTAATGGTTGTGGGCATATGGGATATATGGATCGTGCATTTTCTACTCTGAAGCGCATGATAGATGCATCATGTGAGCCAAATTACTGGACTTATTGGCTTTTGCTCAAACATTTTCTAAAAATGAGTTTAGGCAATGCTCATTATGTAGAGACATCTGGCATGTGGAACTGGATTGAGCTGGACACAGTTTGGCAGCTTCTTGAAAGGATGGTGAAGCATGGCTTAAATTCTACAGCAGTGACATACAGTTCTATCATTGCAGGATTCTGCAAAGCAACACGTCTAGAAGAAGCATGTGTGCTTCTTGATCACATGTGCGGAAAAGATATATCTCCCAATGAAGAGGTATACACAATGCTTATCAAGTGTTGTTGTGATATCAAGCTCTTTGAAAAGGCCGCATCATTTGTTACCAACATGATAGAATGTGTGTTTCAGCCTCATCTCGAGTCCTACCGCTATCTTATTACAAGCCTCTGTGATGAGGGGGGCTATGACAAGGCTAAATCATTGTTCTGTGACTTACTAGAAATGGACTATAATCATAATGAAGTTGCATGGAAAATTTTGAATGACGGCTTGCTGAAAGCTGGCCATGTGGATATTTGTTCACAGTTGCTGTCTGCTATGGAGAATAGACATTGTCGGATTGACTCTGAGACATATTCAATGGTGACGAATAACATTCGCGAGGCTTCTGGCAGTGTGGTTAGTGAACTCGGAGAAGCTGCCTGACCGATGGTAAATTTCATTGTCTACTCTTTCCCATGGAGGGCAATTTTCTCTATGAGCCAGGCTCGACACTTTGAAAGCAGCAATTTCATCTGGGTCATCGGATATAATGGTTAGTGTTTCCACAGATCATGTGGAGTATGCTTATCACACCATATTTTATCAAAATGCTTGTTGCCTCAAAACTGGAACTGGCATAGCTCTTTCTTCCTTTTTGTTCATGATGATGATCACATTTTACCTTCTGTTATCAAATGCAGTGCATGAGAGCTACATATGTGCACCACTTGTAGGCCAGAACAGGATGCAGCACGCGCTGCTCGGCCCAGCTCACCTGACCTACTCTGCATCACCGGTCCCGAGGCTGACGCAGCGTGCCAGCACCGCCAGACTGCTGAATTTGAAGGGCTACGGTGAGGCGTTGCTCCTGACAGCATGAGAGGATTGCAGGATGGCACTGCGCCGAATAGGGAGATGATGATCATCTCGATCTGTTGCAGCGCTGCTGGGTTCGCCAAAGACGTGAGGATGCCCAGATCAATTAAACTACCATGACTGAACTACCCATGCTTATACAAACTAATGTTGTTGTGTTTCCTCTCCATCAACGGTCCACGCATTTTAGCACAGAGGAACCATAGTAAACCTTTTGTTATGCCTCTACATTTTATTAACTTCTGCTGCACAAGCTAGATACTTCTTGCTTTGTTGTAGCCATCTGCAGCGCGAGGGTAGTACTCCCTCTGTTGAAGTATAAGATGTTTTAGCTTTTCTAGATACATTATTTTTACTATGTATCTAGACATAATGTATATTTAAATGTGTAGCAAAAGTTCTATAACTAGAAAAGCCAAAACGTCTTGAAATTTAGAATGGAGAGTGTAACTGAACTGTCATTTTTAACTTTAACAAAAAGAACGAGTGGGTATTACCTTACACATCACAAACACGATTTTTTTTCCTCATGTGCACCTACAAATATAATTGACCCATCCTTACTCAGGAAGATTGTTTTTTTTAATTAAGGGTTACCATTGCTACGGTATACTCATGGTACTCGATAATGCATATGTAAACTCCTGTCAAGCTTCCAATAACGCATGTCAACTCCTGTCAAGCTTCCAATAACTAGGATGCACGGATGGTACTTCCGCGTTGAAACACCGCCGCGATCATAGGAGGTGAAAATTTGACGCAAAGAACTTCACATCAGTTACCTTTTTGGTAGCAACGCAAAGATAGCATGAAATTCATCTGGGTTACGTGAAAAAATATGAAATTCATCTGGGTACATCAAATCACAGCAAAGGTCCCTTAAAACCATTGCTCTATGAATGAAACATCGAGCCACATGCCATCTATTGATCTATAGACGCAGTGAATATATCAATAGAACTTTCAGCATTAGCATCGTTTAGTTACAAGAAAGTTATTAAGCCGTCTAAGGAATCAGCCAACGCGAGACTTGAGTGGTTCGTGGGGGCGCAAGTTGTTCTCCGGCTAAACCTTAACGTCTCTGCGCACATTCCACGGCATTGCTTCTTTGTTTCTAGCAAAATAAAATGGCTAGAACTTGAACAGCGAGCTAGAATTGCAGTGTCCCACCGTAATGCTGGCTGACGGAATCCTGCAAAATGACTGCACAGTTAGATGCCATAATAAAGTCTTATGTATTCCGTCAATCAAATAATACCGTAATGAAAATAATAAGTCTTGCGTACGTAGATCACTGTTTGCTTCTATCAGAGGAGAAGAAACACGTGAATTCGATAATCAAATAATCAGATGAGGCAAGGCTGAAGGGCCCCAGCCTGTCCAAGTTGATCAACCGATGACAAGGCAGAGAACAGAAGTCGATAGGAACTCCAGAATGCATGGAACGACTGGAATTAGAGATATAAACATGAAATCGGCTCTCAACTATGACATCAGCATGTATTGGGAGGGGTAGAGGTGGAAAATAGTTAAATTTCCACTCCTATCAACATGTATTGAGAGGGATGGGTTTATCCAAACAGGCCTTGAAGTTGGTGAAACGACATAGCAGGATGCAAAGGTATGCAACAAGGTATATCATACAGGTACATCAAAGAATAACTAGATGTGTAGAATTTTACCTGTAGGAAAGGAAGGATGCTATCATGTAGTTCCAGAAAAAACTCTGATGCTGACGAGAATCTGGAAACGATAGACCAATAAATTTTCATCGTGACTCAAACATATTTACTGGTTTGGTTAATGCAACTATTGAGATTTTGGTTTGCAAGAAATAGATTTCTATCTAATGATTCTTACCTTTTCAGAAGGCAAAAACATTTGTAGAGCTCTTCAATATCATCTTCAACTTTCAGTTGTATGTAGTGTCTAAGAAGCTCGGAGAGACATGAATGAGTTTCATTCCATTCTTCACTACCTGAGTTAGGACACAAAAGTAGGAACGAAGCTACAGGCTCTAGAACAGAAGACAATGGTCGTTGACAGCTGGAATCTGTGTGTTGCTCTGCAATTACATTCAAAATCAGGCAATTGCTAACTCTAAACTGTTCAATCCATTTTTGAGAACTTCCTGGTGGGAGAAAAGTCCTTGGATTTTTTGGATCATCAGCTCCACCATCATTAGGAGATCTATTTTCAGCTCTAGCAACATTAGGTGATTTACTTTCAGATACATTGGAAGTGCTGTATGCAGGATCTCCTGATCTATGTAATGGAAGTGCACTAAACAAATCAGCCTTTACATCCTCAGGTAATTCCTGCAGAACTGTTAGATCTGCCTGGCTTAGTGAATCAGGCATCAAATCAAGCTGTGTAACACTTTTTGTTGTTTTCTCAACTAATGCACTAGCTCTTGAGCATGAAGCATTATTGGCTGCTTTAGCTTCTGATAGCTGTTCGTCAAATTTTCCCTTTGGTGGTAACGGTAAAATTAGAATAGTGTGAAACAGGTTCAAAATATTATGATGAAGAGGTAACGTAACTAAATCGCATGCTTGCACTTTGTTTAAAAACTTCCAGCACCACTTTGTTTCCAGTGACAAAGCTCACCTTAGTATGTTCCTCCTCGGAATGCATTGAGTCTTTCTGGTCTCTGTATCCTTGAAGCTTTGAATCGCCAGGTACAGAATTACAAGTAACTGCTGGCAAAGCAAGAGATTTTGAACTATTTTCCTTGCCCTTATCTCTATCGAGGGTGTCCACAAGACCTTGTAATTCTCCCTTGTACATTTCATTCATTTCAGACATTATCTCTGGGGGAAGGTTCTTCAGGACCTCCAAATCAAGTTGGGATAATGGAGGCAGCTCGACATTGTGAACTACAGTAGACCTATCACTTCTAAGGTTCACTTCTGCTGTATGTGATGGTCCAGATCTTCTCGAATCCTGCAGTCCGCTAGTCCCTACAGAAGCTCCAAGCAGTCAATTCCCATTGAACAGAACACACACATGATAGCAGCAGTTGCCCAGTACCTGCAACATCAACATTCCCCAGCATCTCACTCTGGTGTTTCTTGAGCTTGGCAGCTGGTGAAGCAAGCCATGATTCAAGCATATTTCCTTCTTGATGCTTCATTGGAAAATAAGAACCATTAGGATCAAGGAGCTAAGTGCATACAAAATATGTCAAGTGCCAGAAACAGAAGCAGAGGCAGCTATGAAGATTTTTTTTTTCTTTTTCTTTTTTTTTGGGGAGAGGGGGATATCTAATGCTATATTTTACCTTACTTAGGGAGGGTAGTGCTTGCTTGTTGTCAAGATACTTTCTTGTTAAATGTATTATTTTAGCATGGAAGCACTTGAGAACCAAGGGCCAATATGTAAATTATAAGAACTGTTGACTTGTTGCATCAATATACAGCATGTGTCTTTTGATATTATTTTATTTCAGGCAATATTAAACTAATGTTTCCTTTATAAGAAAAGAAAAATGCCACAAAGCGCTATGTTTCCTTTATAACATGTGGCATACTGACATGTGATGGGGTCATGGGGATATTGCAATGGTTCTCTAGCATATACATATCTCGGTTTCATCAAATGTTCAGGAATCAAATGCTAAGTTGAGTCAGCATTCAAGACGCTGCTCTTTCTCTAAAATGTAACAGTTCCTTCAGCTAGCATCGGTCTTAACAGTATAACTGGAAAGCATCTACAAACAATAGACAGTAGTGCACCTTAGACTTAGCTTTCAGATTAATCTGTTGTTACTGTTAAGTTTTAAGACATACTTTGCTCTGAGATGCCTATAATCAGATGAAAATGCACAAAGATCACACCTTTTATCATTTTATAGAAACAATGCTTCTTGTTTATCACATCCACTACTGAAATCCGAAAAGTATTTTTACACCAAACCAAATGGGGATAAAAATATAAGGAAATAGAAAGAATCCAAATAGCTAAAGATACCTCCCCGACCCAAATCTGCGTGCTCAAGCTTGGACAGTGACAGTCCAATTCCACGAACTTCCTTCACATCTGGAATGTGATATTGCACAAGTTAGTCATCAACACAGTAATGATGGAATTTTCATTAAAGGTCTGCACATAAGGTGCATATAAGATATGGAAAAAATATTGATTTTACCAAGACGAAGAGCTGAAAATAATTGTTTTGCGATTCTCTGAAGAGTGACAAAACTGTCAGTTGCGCCTGCAATCTTTGAGACAGTACAGAGTAGTAAAGATTAGAAATCAAAAGAATGCACAATGCACCTGGTAACATATCACATTTTTGCATTATGGAAATTTAGAAGCAAATAATGCATATAAGAATGTGCACTTCATAACTCACAATATAGGATAAACACTTAGCCTATGCATCATCACAATTACATACAATAATAACTAGACACAACACACACACACACAAAAAAAAAACGCTAAGGATATGGTACTACTGTGTTCCCGTAAAAAAAATTAAGAATGTGTATTCATATGCACCAGTGAACCCCATACCGTCATAGAACGACTCGTGGTTTCACAGTCACCACATCCCATATACTTTATTGGTTCCCCAGCACCTTCCCTTCTTGTTTTCACCTTCAAGGCAAACATTCAGTTGATACCTTAACTATTTATTGTACAGATGAGTGAAAGAAAAGTGTGTACAGTCAATAGAAACAACCTTAAGAGTAATAGTACGTCCCTGAACTCCACACCCCTGCAAGCGTAGAGAAACCTCCTTGCAGAGGTTGTTAAGAAAATGCTCAGCCTGCAACCAACATAAAAGTGATCAAATCAAACATGAAAGGGCATAGTGCTGCAATAATATAGAACAGAGAAACAGAAAGGACCCACATCTTTGTTGTCATTAAATCTGACTCCCCAGTTGATTTCAGCACCCACAGATTTTGTTTCCTGCATTGTGTGCAGAGGACAATACTTTAGTAGAGCAACTAATTATAATATCACTAAACTTACTATCACCATATTTCCTTCCAAAGGGTTGGGCAAGATGTTAGAACAAAAAGCAAAATATTACAACAAACAAATACCCTTCACACTGATGCTGGAGTCCCACATACACAGAAGCATACTCTCCGTCAATTTAAAATTTAATACCAATCATAAGAAGAAAAGGAGAATATAGTTCTTTCAAGATATGCTCAACTAATGAGCCAACAATACACAAAAGATGGAATGCTTAATTCTGCAATCCGAACACAGAATTAACATGGAACTACAAGCTCCCAAATTATTATTCATTAACAAAAGAGCAAATAGACTCACAAGCCCAACCTGCAGTTCCCAACGAACCGCAGGTGTTCCGCTAATACCATCATCACTCTATTTTAGTACCTTCATCCTGCATACAGGATGTAGTCTACATATGTGCACAACCAACCATGCTGAACGATTGGTCCTGGTGCTCTCCTCCTACCTAACAGAGAAGCCAGGTGTTCAAATCCTCAGTCCCGCACTTTTTCCTTGGCAATTAACAAAACTTTCCCACCTGGCCGCACTTTGTATGTGTATCCGTCAAGGCAACACAAATGCTTTACTAAAACTGGACGGTTCAAATTGTTATTTCTGAATCTATTTCTTAGATGTTCTTGGGAGCATGAGCAGATCAGCAGAGCTGCCTGCTCCAGGTATTTACATCCCATACACCAGTTGAGCACAGTTTTCAGTAAAATAAAACAGGCACAGGCACTCACAACTGAAGCAATGGCTGAGATAGTGAGATGCTCTTTTTTCTACCTGAACAGATCCCACAACTGAATGATCAATTCCTCTACAATAATTCCATAAAAGATCACCAGTCTTTTTTCCGAAGTCCTTGTGGAGGGCATCCTAAAAAAGAAGCACTGGCATGTAATAACCATATTTGGAGGGAGGTAGTTGAGAAACCACATCAATATTCATCTAGACAAGAAATTATATATAATCCTAAAGAATGTGGTTGGCATTATGTGACCATCACACAGTAGATGACCTAGACAATGTGCTTATGACTTGTAAACGGAACAATTTTATTCTGCATTAGTAAATGGCATTTAAAGTCGAGACTGGAACACAGTAATACTTGTAAAATGAAGGACTGGAAAAAAATTCTTTCCATGAGGAAAGGGGACTGCTTTATGTTACACTACACAAATAGCGCCGACGAACCTTTGGAACATTGCGAAGTTGGCCACAATATTCAATTTCTTTGCTTTTCAGTTTAAATGAAACCGTATGACCAATGCCGGGAAGTGCTTTGATAGAGAGACTACTCAGATAATCATCAGCCTGTAAGAGATACATGTTGCAGTCAGTAAATCGCATGCCCCTAACTCCTTATGAAGATTATGATATCAACTTATTAAGACAAGCTACAGCATGTAGTACAAAGTACATCCTTTTAGAGGGAGTGGCACCACTAGTGATTTTCTTTAATCAGATAGGACTTCAAGGAAAGACAAACAAAATTAATAACTGAATTCAATACCCAACAAGCTCATTGGAATGAGTAGAACTATTGAACCAACTCCCAGAAATAAAATAATAATTCAACAGTCAATATTTTCATAGAGATATTAAAAAATATAGACATGATATCCAAACCTCCAAGCTTATTTTTCAGGACTGTTGGGAACAGAAGAATGTTGCAGGCAGTGTATTCTTTTCACATGCGTCAGTTCCCTTTTTACACATGGGGCCTTAAGTAAGACTCAGCTGAATAGCCACTTAAGACCTTCTAGGCTCTAGGGTAGTTAAGCAGATTTAATATACCTAGGAAACTATTCCAGGTAAGATCTTACATATATCCTTGTTGCCTATATTAGGAGCTAACAGGACGATGATACCGTAAGATTCATTGTGTCCTAAGCTTGTTTAACTGTTTAAGCAATGCATTCATTAGCTGTGATTCCCTGTTTAGATCGAAGGAACTTCAAAGGAACGAAAAAAGAGGCCAAATATTTGGTGCAAAGTGCAAACCACCCCTCTGCTGCAGTTGTGAAAAAACCCTTGAAACACATACCTAGAAGTTTTCAAAAAATTTGAAATGGTGCACATCCATAGTGCATCTATAGATGTACATTGTCGCAAAAGTTCAAATGTAAAATCATTTTCTAAAAAATCATATGAAAATAACAAATTTCAGGTGTATATGTACTGGAAGAAAATTTTGTCTTCTAGTGCACATGCACATGAATTTTGTTATTTTCTTGTGAATTTTTGTAGATTGGGTTTGAATCTTAACTTTTACGACAATGTATATCTACAGATGCACTGTGGACGTGCATCATTTCAAAAACAAAAAAAAGAACTTCTAGGTATGTGTTTTCATGGTGACGTGGATTGAGCTGAATATTTTCCTCGAAAAAATCCTATGGAAATCCTACATAAAATGAATATTCCGGTCCTCGTTCAAAATCACCTAGAGCATGGAGTTGTTTGTATAAATGTATAGAGATTACAATAGGCACAGACATGCAGTTAGGAGCATGTCCATTAGCAACAGCATACATATACCTTTTCGGATGGAATATAGCATTGTCCATTAGGCTTTGCAGATCTGGTAGCTAACCGAGCTAGGAGCATGTTTTCAGCAATACCTGCACTAGCAGTACACTTTGTTGCATGAAAAATCTCACTTCTTATTCTCTGTGTTACTTCCTCAGGATTGTCATGTAAGCATTCAGTCATATCCAAAAAAGCTTCATCACAACTCAAAGCCTGAATTGTGGATAACATTGTCAGAACTGTAGATGTAGATCTCTAATAATCAAACTATGGGGATGTAACACCAATGAAGATATGCTGTGTGTAGCATGGATAATCCTGGAGTGTACCTGAACCTTACTGCAATGTTTGTGCAAAATACCATAGAACTGATCAGCAACCTACAAGAATTCCAGTCACTCAGATTCTCAAATTCAACAAAAGTAGAAGAGGAGTTAGCCATCAAATGGACTATCTAAAATTCTTAAAAAATATACCTCCTCATAAGCATCAAAGTTATAAGGAACGATCATTAGGTGAGGGCACCGAGCTTTAGCATCTCTAACAAACATGCCAGCCTTTATCCCTGGAATGCACCAATGAGGATGCAACCTATGTTCAAATGTGTTCACATAACTAAATTATACATCTTAATTAATGGAAAATAAAATAGCAGCACCATAATTTCGAGCTGGATAGTTTGCTGACGATATTTCTGCTGTTCCTTTAGGATTGTCCGAATGGCAAACTGCTACTGGTTTATCATGCAGCTCTGGCATATTTCTGATGACGACAGACACAAAAAAGCAATCCTGGTGGAAACATTATGCCAACAATCAAGATAATTAAGTAATAAGTATAACACAAGCAACTCAAGCGTATTCCTGAAGACAAGCATTACCAAACTACATCTTGGAATTGCAGAGTACGACAGAAGGGAAAATAAAAAATGGCTTCCAATTAGTGATAAATTCAACTAATAACTCAAAATTCGAAACTACAATTTGGACTGAACCTTTCAAGCATAAACCTCATTTCATGTACACCTGCTTGCCTCTCTTTTTCACATAGAATCTGGCAACACATATCTTAGTTTATTGTTGAATGGATCAACAGTAGGTACTTGCATTCACAATTAGCATTTTGTACAGTCATATTCCTCAGAAGGTCCTTTGCTCTGTACAACTACATTATCAATCCATCATGCTTACTGGACTCAATACTATATTTGAAATCCTGATCCATACTGCAAACTGACCTGACTTCCAATTTTTTATGGCTGCTTAGCTTTCTGTGACTAAACAGGAACTGACGGCAAAAGTAATATGACCAAGGGCAAAGAAGAAACTACATATCACACTCATAGCTACAAAATTAAGATTTCTTTGATAAGAATTCAACGTTCAAGATGCAATTCTACATATCTATAGCTCACCATAGCAATACAAGATTACCATATCAATATGAATGATTGTTTTCTTCTTCCCTGAATGATCAGCACTCGATTTAATGCCTTTAGCTTCTAGCAAATTTGAGAAGCGCTTTCGATACCGATTTCTCCATGTCCCAATGAAGTGCAGTCGAGAGTACTACAACACCAAACAAGAACATCAAATCAAACTACCAGTATGACCAAACAAGAGTAGAAGCAGCAAAGCTTAGTAACAGAAGCTTTCAAAACATAAAATTGCAATTGTATTGACAATAGAGCACCAAATGTGACTGACAAATCAGATATTGTTATTTGTTCCAACTACATACCTTGAAATAGTTCTCAACAAAATTCGGATCTGTTAGGGTTGAATGTGGTCGGCCAGAAGGTTTAGCTGCACTTTTCTCCAATGGCAAGGACAAATGACTGCCTGTAGAGCTTGTACTGCATAAATTTGAACACCTTGACTTTGCATCAGGGGATTGAGGCACACCAAGGTTATCATCTGTGTCATTACGGCTCTCTGAACAGGCAGTTTCACAATCATACTCACCCTCATCAACTGTGAAATCTCCGCTCTCTCTTTCTTCAAATGCTGATGCCTTCTGTTCATCCGAGGATAACAAGTCTTTTGATAACTCCAAATTATCCATTGAAGCTTCACTTTCACAATCCCCACTTTGATATTGTGATCCCTCCTGAGCAGACGAAGATTGAAACTCAGTATCCTTATTTTGGTTGTTTTGTTCTCCCTTGTGACGCATTCCATTTTGTTTCTCAGAAAAGAAAGCAGAAAGCTTCATCTGCTTTCGGCTTGAAGAACTATTCTGATTTATTTGATACGGAGCACCTTAGTCAAAAAATAACAAAAACAGATGCATAAGAATACATGAAGCCATGAGTGCATAGAAGTTATGTGCTGTGTGCACTTATTTTTAAGAGACTAATCTTGATATTCCTATCATAAATGAGGACATATGTTCACAAAACTAGCAAAATAGTGTAGGATCATGATTTCACATAGAAGTTTACAAGTAGGCCTTCGTAATAAAGCATAGATATAAAGGATGGACAGAAGTGTGGGGAGATCTATCTTAATCTAAGAAACAAATTATTAACAATGCTATGCTCATGGTTAGAATAAAACCTCTACCTCAGTTTCAGGAGAAGTTTACAATCAGTGCACAATGTCAGCTCAATCAATCTTGTTACCAACCAGTGTATTACCAGCAACATGTACAATCTAGCTACAACACTAGTCTAACAAAAGTTGCAGTAAGGAAGCAGATCATTTATCACTACACTGACTACAGTAAGGACAAGAGAAAATACAGTTGAGGAGCCGGTTCTCTGCCAGGGAATCCACCACCCATGCTGGCTTCACAACAGGAAGTCCCTTGCTGAATGCTCTGGATCAAACAGCAGCATGATCACCATACTCAAACCAGAAAGCGTAATAATGGCAACCCAGAGGCCCTCTTCCCTTACGTACCTCAGATTCTTCATTTTGCTATCAGGCAGGTTGCGGCAAACAATGTGTGTCACCGTGTGCCTGGAGAAGTAGTTGACAAACCGGCCTCCATTGCTCAGCATAATCTCTTTCAGTTCCTACCGAACCCCAAGCACAAAACAAACCCCCGGGAAAAAAAAGTCAAATCGACATGATCGATACCGTTGCGTCTACAGTAATTAAATTGTGGTGTATGAGAACCCTTAAGATGAGCATGAGCTGGTGGCGCGCGGCAGTCACCTGGCTAGAAGGGACCGTGAAGCCGTCGACGAAGATGGAGACGCCATCGAATAGACCGCCGGCGGCCGCGCCGGAGGTGGAGGCGTCGGCGTCGAACTGCGCGGCGAGCTTGCTGTTCTTCGCGGCCATGTAGGTGCCGAAGTCTGCGAACGGGGAGGAGGCGAAAGCGCGGCGAGGGTTTTTGGCGGGGTCGGGGTCGGATGGGAACCCGCTGCTGGCCTCATCCCTCGCCCGCTTCTGGCCTGGCGACGAGGCGACCGCGGCCGAAGATGAGGGGGCGCGGCGGCCCGAGGAGGTGGAGTTCATGGCGGCCGGTACCGGCGCGGAGAGGCGGTGGCCGGTGCCCGGTGCCCGGTGGGAGGCTGGGGCGGAGGGGGCGGCGAGTCGGGAGCACGCTCGAGAGGAATGGTCTTTTTTCGGTCCTTTTTTTTTTGGGCGAAACGCAGCGGCGTGGGCTAGTGCGCAGCTGCTGAAACGGTCGCTGGCTCGCTGGACGGATGGGTTCGACGGCCCGAGCTTTTGGGCCGTCTTACACCCGGATCCATTTGTGATCGCAAAAGTTTAGCCTTTAAATTTTTCTGCTAAACTTTAGCCCTTACTTGATGTTTAAATCCATCGTAAAAAAAAGCCTTTAAATTTTTCTGCTAAACTTTAGCCCTTACTTGATGTTTAAATCCATCGTAAAAAAAAGACTAAAAGTGTAAAATAAGGTGTCCTTCACATCCTAATGTTTTTAGGGATAAAATTTAGCCTTCCATTTTGCTCACTTTTAACCTACCTGTTTGGATCCATTTGTCAAAAAAAAAGGCTAAAAGTGCAAGGCAAAACTTTAGACTCCCCAATTTCTCGACAAATGCTGCCAGCAAACAGAAGTCCGGATCGACGATATCCGTTCATACTACCTTTGTGACCTAAAATGAGCAAATATTGTCATTCTGGTTTTATTCTAACTTAAATGATATTAAATTTAATTAAGTTTGTATAAACATATCAATATTTATAATATTATATAAATATAATTAAATTCGTCATAAAATATAGTTTCATAGCAATTATATTCGATGTCATAAATGTATTATTATGTTAATAGTTTTTTCTTTAAATTTAGTTAAACATAAGATACTTGGACTTACAAGGTAAAACTAAAACGACATTGTTTTAGGACAAAGATAATATTAAATAATATGATATGTAAGTAAAATCTGATGACACAAGGAGATGCAGACGTATATAAGTTTTAAACAAACTTGCGAACCTAGTTAGTTAGTTTCGATACAGTGCTGAGTGCACTAGGAACATAGAGATAAAAGAGATATTTCAATAATGATTAGTAGTAGTAGCTAGTGGTAAAAGTGACGGTTTGCTCGTGATCCAGGCTATCCAGCCATGGATCTGCTTTGATTCAATCTCATTAGCTTGACAAAAAAAATCTAGTAGCGATTAGGTGATCTAGAGCGACAAAGAGCTTGAGCCAAAACATAGCTCGACACTTATATGTGTGATATAGTCGCAAGATGTTTGCTACGAGCAGTTTCATCATGGTTACCTACGAAACATTTGAAAGTTTTTTTTTAGTTATTTAGTGTTCGTTTAGCACAACTCTAGCTTAAGATCAGGTTGGATATGTAGTCTGGAGACTAAACTAAAATAATTTAAATATCTATACACAAAATAAATTCAATGTTGCTAACATATCTCTAGCTTCCAGAGACTCAAGGTTTCCTTGAGATAGGTAGCTTCAAGAATTTAACTTCACCGAATAGGTATTTAAGCCTTATACTAATTTGGCGTGCAAGGTTACCGGAGTCATGACAGATAAAACTGAGTTAGCTTAAGGTTATGCATAGCAGCACCATAGTGGTAGCTGCCAATCATGTTAAAAAAAGGAGAATTCTGTATTTGGTATTGAAACAAATCACTCTTTTGTATTTGACATTGGAAATTTTAAACTTTTTTATCTAGCATCAACTTAAAAATTCTTTCCGTATATGGCACTTCCATCCATTTTGATCATCCATCCGTTTATTGACTTCGTTGACCATATCAGTTTTTCTTAATAACTACCAAAATATCCCTCTATTTAATTTGATCGCGCGCAGCTGCTCGGCAGTCGCTACGGGCGAAACTCGCACGCTCGCTCCCCTTCTTCCCCCGTCAGTCTTCTCTCCTTGTGAAAAAAAAACCCGAAGCCGGAGGAGATGAGGATGGGGCGGAGGAGCCGTCGAACGTCAGCGCCCAGGAAGCGCCGGTCCCTCAGCTAGAGGCGCCGGTCCCTCAGCCGAGGTCTCCCCATGGTGGCAGATTGACGCGCGGGTCCAGCAGAGGTCACGGCAGCGGGGCGGGGCGAGCTTCCGGCAGGGGACGCGGCGGCGGGGCGGGCTCACCGGCCGGCGCTGGCCCCATCTCGCGGGGCGGGGGCGCGGTACGAGGAGATCGCGAGGCGGCTCCGCGGCAAGATCGACGGCATCTGGGCGAGGTACGAGGAGATCGCGTCGGACAGGAAGAAGCTCCGGCTACGGCCTGGTGACGGCGCGCCCCGGCCCGCGGCGAGCCCGCTCGTGCCAAGCAACGCTCTTCCCCGTCCCGAGCGCCTCCACGGGCGGCAGCGCGACATCGAGAGGGTCGCCGCGCTGGTACGCGGGGAGCCGGACGGCGGGAGGACCTACGCTGTCGTGCCCATCGTCGGGATGGCCGGCGTCGGCAAGACGGCTCTGATGCAGCACGTCTGCGGCATGGAGGCCGTGAAGTCGTGCTTCGAACTGACACACTGGATTTGGGTATCCCAGGAGTTTGACGTCGTCAGCGTGACCCGCAAGATCGTCGAGGCGGTCACCAGATCGCGCCCGGAGTGCGGCGAGTTGAGCACGCTTCATGAGCTCATAGTCGAGCACCTTGCGGGGAAGAGGTGCTTGATCGTTCTCGACGACGTGTGGAATGACAATCCCAGCCACTGGAACAGCCTGACGGCCCCGCTGAGCCGCTGCGCTCCGGGGAGCGCGGTTGCCGTGACGACGAGGAGCAACAAGGTTACCAGGATGGTGAGCACCAAGGTGTATCATCTCAAATGCTTGTCAGATGAAGACTGCTGGCGTGTATGCCAGCGATGGGCACTGTCGAATAGTGATGCCAACGTCGACCAAGAACTTGTAGAGATCGGTGAGAAGATCGCGAAGAAATGTCAGGGCTTGCCATTGGCGGCAGAGGCAGCTGGTAGTGCCCTGGGTGCTTCAACCAGCTGGAAGCACTGGGATGAAGTCCTGAATAACGATTTGTGGGCTGATAATGAGGTGAAGAATCTGGTACTGCCGGTGCTGAAGGTGAGCTACGACCACCTGTCCATGCCGCTGAAGAGTAGCTTTGCGTTTTGTTCATTGTTTCCAAAGGGCTTCGTTTTCGACAAAGATCTGCTTTCACGTTACGTCCATTTATTCTTTTCCTTTTTGTGATATATGTGATTTCTTTATTTGACATTATATTTATTTATTCTTTTTCTATCTGACACTATATGTTGCCGGTACATAGAGGAACATATATATCATTTTAGGTGGCACTTGATACCGTTACTGCATCAAATGAACGGAAGTGTCATATATGAAAATTTTTTTCAAGTTGATGCTAGATAAGAAAGTTTAAAATTTCCAATGCCAAATACGGAAGAGTGATTTGTTTCGGTGTCAAATACAGAATTCTCTCTAAAAAATATATACGTCATGTATTTACAACCATCAATTGACTAATCCAGCGAGTACCACAAGTGTCCATTTTTTTTAGTTGTTTTTTCGTTCCTCAAAATCGGTAGACTTGCCCGTCAGTTATTTTTGACTTGTTGATTGTCTGCCAAATGTCATACGTATCTACGCTACAGCCTTTGTTTGGTTGAGCGATGCAAGAAGCACTTCCCGACGAAGCTACACAAATAGAGAATTCAGAAAAGTAGATCTGACCTAACTTTTTTTGTTTTTAACTTAAATGGGAACGTCATCGTGACCAGGATCCGCGTCCTGATCGGAGACGCCCAACTCTAATATACAACACTGCTTAGGGAGGCCGTCGTCATCGTGGATTATTCTTGTTGGTATAGGTTTGGTGTGAGAGAAAAACAGCATTCCAAGCACGAAAAATTCACGATCGACTTTGCAAGCGAGCAACACCCCACCCTCGACCTAATCAGACCTAATAAATAGCCCTAACACGAGGTTCACTTGAGCCGCCCTAGCACCCCACCTCAAAACCCTAACCGATCACAGAGGCGCGCCGGCCATGAGCGCCTGCCATCTACATCTACACCGAAAGGGTCATTACGACGCCGGGCTGTCTTGCGACCTCTACACCGACCCCTGGACGACACCGCCACTGCACCGCCGCCCTTCGACTCAGCACCGCCACCGGGTTATCGCCAAGCACTGCTATGGCGAGCCAATCTTCTTCAAGGCGGCCGATGGTTTGCACCCCTTCACCCCTCTCTCTCTCACTCTATCTCTTATCATGTACTAGTAGATATCCTAGGACTCGTTGTTTATTCCAAAAGCAAATAGACACGTTAGATCTATGGCTAATGATCCTGTCTCACTATTTGCAATTTCTTTGATATAAGCATCAGCTTAGAAGTTATTACGCAAACAAGCCTTACAAGTTTATCTTTCCATCCAAAAAAAGTGCACTTCTAATTACGATGCTAAACCAAAACTTCTTCAGTTTAACCATGTTAAAAATACTAGTAATATTTACTATAATACTCCCTTCATTTCCAAATTTTAAGCTGCTATGGCTTTTCTAGTATATATATATCTAGGTGTATATAGATAAAACTATGCACCAAAAGAAGCTAAAACGATTTATAATTTAGAGTGACTTATAATTTAGAATGAAGAGAGTAAACATCATTAGAATCGTTATGAAGTATATTTTATAATATACTCCCTAAAATATACTCTCTCTATTCTAAAATACAAGGGGTTGAAATGTTTAAAATTTTGTCTCAAATTATAAGGTATTCTAGACTGCTCGACTACATCCATATGTGCCTGCATTTTAAACCACATCTATGCAATGCCTTCTAAACACAATCTTGCCCAAAATAATTTTTACAATTGGTGGTCCAAATCAATGACATGTATGCATGCCTTTTTAAACTATGCGTTACTAGAAAATTTGAGCAAATTGCTAACCAAACTAACTAATCAGTAAGAGTCAAGTTAGTGTTTTAACAAACTCCTTTTTTTAGTCATAAAAATGTTTGGATACTTTACCTTTTTTCAGAACGGAGGCTGCATTTATTTAGAATCATAATTATTGATACTATTTTC